CTTTTTGATTTTTTACCTGGACTACTGAGATGCATCAGGATGACYTTTTATTAAATTTGAGCAAAAAATGTTACATGAGTTCATCAGTGCATGATAATGTACAACACAGGCTCAATGCCAGTACTCAGTTCTACCACTCTGTTTAGATATGTGTGTCAAAATGAGCTCAACAGCATTGGCTGAACAAGCAACCACAATTGGAAAACGAATCAGAAGAAATTACTGTATTGTAATTCAGTGTTGTGGAAGAGGTTCAGGTTTCAAAGGTCTGATAAACGTCAGCTGTTTCAGTCTGCTGTAAAATGTGCTACAGAGTTGTGCAGACTCACAGCAGCACCTGATAAAGTTTCACTCAATAAAATGCACTGTTTGAAAATGAAGCACACTAGAAGTTTAAGCTCTCATTGTAAAACATCAACATCTCCCCATCAGCAGCTGTATCAAGCAGAGCGAAACCTGCACWGCAAACGCATATATGTATGGCAATTTGTATGACATAAGCTTGACTTCACCACACTTACTGTGTAATATCTGAAATTGGTTTATGACTAGACATATTTATTTAAAATATCTCTAATTATATTTTGTTATGAGTAAAATACCCATTTGAGATACCAATGGAGGCTCCCATTCAAGATATCTGCAGTAAACAGTGGTGGGCACAGTTCTGCTCATCTGCTAACCTGCTAATCTGCTAATAGCAAAACTAACATTTTGCCGAGCCGTTTAGTTTTTGCATTCATTTTATGGTGCATTAACAGACATTACTTCTGTTATGTATTTTTGGTCAATTACACTACTGCTAAAAATTGTAAAGTTCATGTCAAAACCTTAATTAACTTGCATTAATATATGCTTGATGACACTCARCTGTTCACATGGGGTCTCCTCTTCGATACAGGCCAGACCTTCTACTCACGGTTTTAGTTTCCCCAGCATTCTTTGCAGCCGTGATGTTGTTCAGTCACAGACGTAGCATTTTTTTGTTTGTTGTAAAATATAAAATTAAAGAAAGGCACACATCTTTGCTTTAAGCTGGGGCATATAAATATTTATTTTTATTGTTAATGTCTAAATATAATGATCAAATTAGCCGAATAAGAGGCTTTAAATTTTCACTTCCTGTTTTTCCCTTCCCTATCTGCTGGTCTGGTTTCTGTCAGCAGTTGTATCTCTGCTTCCTGCAATATAAAACAGCATTCTCAAATTTTACCTCTAAAGAATCTTTTAGACTTATGTTGACTTAGGTTGTCAAATTACACATTTRAGTTTGGTTTGATATCTTTTTGAAGTTTAGTTACTGTAAATCTGACAGACTGCGATTGAGAGGTCTGAAACAGGAACATAAAAAAGGGGAACTAAACATTAGAGGGCAGTGTGCACAAAATAATTAATCCAAATACTGTTGCATTCTCACATTTTAGTGGTTTAGCTTTAGCTTCCCCTACATTTATTTCTATTCAGCATTTTATCATTAGCAGAACTAAAAAAAAACATGTAGCGGTTTGGGTGTTAGGGGAGCTAATATTTTGGTTATCTGTGCCCACCGCTGGCAATAAATTGCTATTTGACATATTCAGCACATCCCAACATATATTTCAGATATCAAAGATTAAATTATGACTATTCATAAAGTAAAGATATATTATATGACATCAGGTTTGTAGGTACAGTAAACATTTGTGTTCTTGACAGTTCTTTTAGACATTTCTGTTATTCGTATGAATATCCATTTTTTTTCTCAAAATTGTTTACATTTTTTTATTATTTCTTCTACCTGTTTACTGAAACATATTCAAGTTATAGTTGTATAATAGACATGGACATACAATACAGACTTTCTGCTTTCATTTGAGGGTATCTACATTAAAATTGGACGAAGCGTTTAGGAGTTCAACTGCTTAACATGTGCCTAAAAAGTAATTGGAAAATTGTCTCAAAAGCTATTTTATGGCAGGTGTGGACAATTCCTTTATTATATCATTCTCAATTAAGCAGACCAAAGGCCTGGAGTTGATTTGAGGTGTGGTGCTTGCATTTGGAAAGTTTTGCTGTAAAATGTGGTTAAAAGAGCTCTCCATGCAGGTGAAACGAGCCATCCTTAAGCTGCAGAAACAACAACGTAAAAGTCAACATAGTTCAAGAAGAACATTCTTTGGAGAGATGCTCAACCTCYACCAGAATGATGGAAAAAGAAAAGTATGGTGAAGGCATGGTACAGCTCATGATCCAAAGCGTACCACTTCATCTGTAAAACATGGTGGAGCAGTGTGATGGCTTGGGCATKCATGGCTGCCAGTGGCACTGGGTCACTAGTGGTTATTGATGATGTGACAGGACAGAAGCAGTGGGATGGATTCTGAGACATACCATGTGCTCAAATCCAGATCCAAATGCAGCCAAACTGACTGACATTTCATAATGACACCCAAAACATCAACCAAAAACATAAAGACAAAGCAACCTAGGAGTTTATTAAAAAAGAAGTGGAATAGTCTTGAATGGCCAAGTCAGTCACCTGATCTCAACCCGATTGAGCATTTCACTTGTTAAAGACTAAACTTCAGACAGAAAGGCCCACAAACAAACAGCAACTGAAAACTGCCGCATTGAAGGCCTGGCAGAGAATTAAAAAGGAGGAAACACAGCGTCTGGTGACGTCCATGAGTTCTAGACTTCAGGCAGTCATTGTTAACAAAGAGTTTTTAACCAAGTATTAGAAATGAACATTTTGTTTACAATAATTTAATTTGTCCAATTACTTTTGAGCCTCTGAAATGAAARGATTACATTTAAAAATGCTTTAGTTCATCAAATTTCTGTGCATTCATTTTCTTCAACCCACTGAATTAAAGCTGAGAGTCTGAACTTCAACGACATCTGAAATGTTTTGTTCAAAATTCATTGTGGTAATGTGCAGAACCAAAATTAGGAAAATGTTTCTGTCCAAATAGATATGGACCAAACTGTATATCTTATCGATTAAAATTAGGAGTTCTATCGTGATTTAAATTTTAGCCATATCGTCCAGCCCTAAGTCATCTCATACAGTGCACACATACAGTACATGGCTGCATGATAAATCTATCATGGCAAACTTTAAAAAATAACATGGGAATTGGGAAACATTTTAACAAGATTTATWACCCTATGTCATCACTGGGGAAATTTCCTTCCAGGTATCCATCACAATGAAGACAAGTCCAAACCCAATACATACAACTCTTTTAAAAGCAGGCTTTGTTTAGGCTATTTTTACCTAAAAACATCTCCCACATTTACCTGACCCTCTGGAACATTCCTAATATGGCTCTTTTTACAGCACATCCATTCGTCTAAACCATAAAACGGGGACATCAGAGCGGGCTGCACATGTGTTTAATGTTGGTGTGGATTCAAGAGCACTGTTTAATTTAAGCTGTCCACAGAGGTAGTCTGTCTTTTTCATGGAGGATTTCCAGAGACATGCATCACCTGTTATCTCCACATGTGGGCTCGCGTCCATCTGCATCTTTAAATTTAATCATCGCCATCTGTTTGTAAAACCAAATTACTTGTGTTTTAAGGATTGMATGAGGGAAAGGAAATACCATATGCAGCTATTTTTTGATGCAAACAGCAGTATGCCATGCTAGTACCACTTTCCAGGTGGTGTTTTATTTTTTAATTATATATATATAGCAAAGAACAGCAGAGCCTGACTGTGACATTGCTCTTTAACAGAATACAGCTGATGCAGTATGTCATCTATGGCATTGCTTCGTTTTTCTTCCTGTATGGAATCATTCTGCTCGCCGAGGGCTTCTACACGACCAGCGCTGTAAAGGAACTGCACAGCGAGTTCAAGACCACCATCTGTGGACGCTGCATCAGTGGAATGGTATGTTAACACAACCACATCSTTTTTTTTAACACATGCTTGAAAGAAGCTTTATGGGATGTTCCATTGTAGAAGATGCCATTTTGTTGTAAATGCTGTTTTGATACCAACTCTGCATTTCGACATAGTTTGTGTTCCTCACATACATCCTGGGTGTGGCCTGGCTCGGTGTGTTTGGCTTTTCGGCTGTGCCCGTCTTCCTGTTCTACAACATGTGGTCTACCTGCAACGCCATGAAGTCTCCGATGGTCAATCTTACAAGCATAGATTCCATCTGCGTGGATGTCCGTCAGTACGGTACGTAAACTACACTTTTTCCGAACAATGCCTTTTATAAGTTTTGAGATCCCACCTAACCAAGCTATTTTTTTAGTGTACACACTGTCTTAACATTCTTATTGTTTAGTTTACATYGCAATCTAAAATGTCTATGCTTGAACAGTGATAAACTGTTTTAACAGCTCTTTTCACAAGCTTCTTGYTAAAAGATAAGTGTATTTTAAAGTGTGAAATCAATGGAATGTGCCATTGAATCTTTAAAATGTCAATATTATTTTTAGATTCTGTACTATGTGCATGCTATCTCAATAGACTGTATCTCAAGGTTTGTTTTCATATGTGTTGCCATCTCTTACAAGACAAAAGCAACTTTTGAGTGCAAAAGATAGTTATTTTATTTTTTACTGGCGCAGGCATTATCCCATGGAACGCCACACCAGGAAAGGTCTGTGGATCTATGCTTGGTGAAGTCTGCAACTCCAGTGATGTAAGCTCTTGTCTGCTCCTGTGATTTACTATCTGCACATTTATAACCTATCACAGTAAAGGTTGTAAGACATAAGACTGGAGTATTTTTTTTAAATTGTTAATCATTACTGTTGTCATTTTTCAGTTCTACCTGTCTTATCACCTGTACATCGTAGCGTGTGCCGGTGCYGGAGCCACTGTGATTGCTCTGGTGAGATTGCCTTTAATGTCCTACCTTTTCTCTTTAGTTCATCTTTGCATGGTTTGTATCAGCAGGTCATGTGTCAAATGCTCCTCTTTTCATTCCTTTGTGGTTCATGTAACCACCCTGAAGGTGATCCAACATTGACTTCTTCTCAACTCCATTTGCTATTTTTACCATCTGCTTAGATGCWTATGGCTTGGTTTGGATTTGAGAACTGGTGGGTTATTGTGCAAAAAGATCTTATAGTTTTTAAAATTAACAGTGCTTTTAAACCAGAAATCTGTTGGYGGGATATTTTGAAAGATTTGTAATGATTGGACACTTTTAGGCATGGGCCATTATGGAAGTCTGAGTAGACTAATGTGGGTTTTTCTCTGTCCACACTAGTCTTACAAAAGTACTAAATTAAACCTGTCACTCTACTAGGATATTGGTGCTCAATCTGTTGTTTGTTTCCCTGCTCTTCAGTGTATCTTTATTCTGATGAAGCTTATTAATCAGTTCATTCAAACCAGGTGTGTTGAATAGGAAAACATCTCCAACATGCAGTACAGTGGYCCTTGAAGACCAGGATAGGGCACCACTGTTCTAGAGAGAAACAAAGTTCACATTTACATTAAATACTGAGAAAGAGCAGGCTTACTTAAGCTAAATCTTCAAAATGTATTATTACTAGACACAGGGCAGAAAGCTGGAAGTTGAAACCACTAGGAACAAGCGCTCCCTATAGTAGGCTGGYTGCATCATCAATGGAAGAAACCCCATAAATTGTCAAATTGTAGCTATTGTCCWTTTTTGGGTGCTGCCATGTTGACTTTTTGCGACGTGAGGCTGTACAATGGATACTAATTCCTGCTGCAGCCTTGCTAACAGGCTGTTAAATTGTCAATCACAATATAACATGACACTTTGATTTAACCCTCAAATAACTAACTGAAATTAAACATAAAGATGTATRTTTGAACATGCAKCAGCAAGGTCAAACCTGTATCRATAAACAGATACAAACAAAGATCTAATGATTCTGGTTCGGTGGCCTCAGGATTCCATCACTGCTGCTTGTATTTGCAAATGATGTGGTCCTGTTGGCGTCATTGTGCTGTGATCTTCAGCTCTCATCGGAGCGGTTCGCAGCAGTGTGCAGCGGCTGGGATGAGGATCAGCACTTCCAAATCTGAGGCCATTTTCTTCAGTTGTAAAAGGGTGGAATGTTCTTTCCATGTTGGGGATGAGGTCCTACCTCAAGTGGAGGAGTTCAARTATCTTGGGGTTTTGTTCATGAGTGAGGGWAAATGGAGCGTGAGATTGCAGTATTGCAGACTCTGKACCAGTCTRTTACGTTAAAGAGGGAGCTGAGCCATAAGGCAAAGTGCTCCGTTTACTGGTCGGTCTACATTCCTACCCTCACTTATGGTCATGAACTTTGAGTAGTGACCACAAGTAAAAGATTGAAACTCTGGTTTGGGCATCTGGTAAGGGTGCCTCCTGGACATCTCCCCAGGGAGGTGCTTCCTGTCCAACTGGAAGGAGATGCCAGTGAAGACCCAGGACATGCTGGAGAGACTATGTCTCTTGACTGGCCTGGGAACACCTTGGAATCACATCTGAAGAGCTGGAAAAGGTRGCTGTGGCATGAGAGGCCTGGATCTGGCTATTCAAGCTGCTGCCCCTGTGACCCTACTCTGGAACAAGCAGTAGATAATGGATGGATGGATAATGTGTATTATTTAATATTATTTATTTTTTTAGCCAGGAAAATGTTTCATTTTGCTGCTTTAGAGGGCAGAACATAAAAACTGCACAGCAACCAGTCAGTAGGGGGCGCTCCTATTTTATGACTTCAACTTCTGACTTCCTGTCCGATCTCTGATTAAATGTTAAAGTGAAATCCCTAAACAAGAACATAGAATAAGCATTAGCTAAATCTAAAAGTTTCTAAAATAAATGTAGTTATTTTTCATAGCGAATACTTATTTTGCATTTTGTTTCTTTGTAAAAGAACACTAGAAGTCCAGATAAGTTATTTTAATAACAGAGAAATTTTAGGTGATTTTTTTCTCTTTCTGCCATCTCAAAGGTAACTGACAGCTTACAGCAAAAGGTGCCCTGTSTCTGGCATTTCATGACAAACCACAAAAAATTACTGGTATGAGGGAAAATTTTAGTGATTTTTGAATCCATGCCTTTTTTTATATATGTTTTTGTAAACCATGTTTCATCTTAAACCCAGAGGCCGGCCCATGTCTAAATCACTTTACAAACTTGTGGTCTATTATATCAGTGACAACGAAGTCAATAGCATGTGCTCTTACCACCTTTTCTGTTCTCTTCCACCAGCTGATCTACATGATGGCTACCACTTATAACTTTGCTGTTTTGAAGTTTAAGAGTCGGGAAGACTGCTGCACTAAGTTTTAAACTGGTTTATGAACATGGCACCGCATTCAACTGTGCTGATTAGAGAGCCTTTGCCACTGACAACAAACAAACTAAAAGAAACAAAACAAAATCAATAGAAAAGTTGACATCTCTCCAATAGAATTCATTTGTCATGTAAATAGCTGATTGTGTGCTACTTTTAGCATTTGGCATCCAGAGATTTTGCTTGTCTAAGCAGAATAAGGATTCTCAGAGTGAGGTGATACTTAGACGACAAAAGATTTCAAAGAAATGTGCAGAAGCTAGAAATTCACAGTGGAGATATTTATATTCATAATGTGCAACGCCAGTTTTGGCCAGCAAGAGTAATTAAGATGAGGAAAATAAAAAAAACAGTATTTTGCATGCAGCTTCGCGCCTTGCATTAGCTTCGCGAGCATCAGCTTTCAGTCAAGAGCTGAATTGCAAATGTGTGCATGAATCTCTGAGGCACATGTCAAACAACTTTAAGATGCTTAAAAATATCTCTCCTTTGTTTGGGCCTYGATTAAAACCGTAGCTCACTTGTGATTTTAATCTATGCGAACATCTAATGATAAAATATTGAAGATGTTATCAGGTTTAATAGTTTTGGTCATCGGATTAGCTGTATTGGTGAGACTAATGTCAACATAGATCTGTAAAAAGAAATGTTTATTTGGTTTATGAAATTTGGTGCAACATATAAATGCAAAACYTTCAGTATTAAAGTGCCCTTGCAATATAGTGCCTATTCTAAACTGAACTAAAAAGGAAGAAAATCTTTATCCACTGTTATACTGATGAGTATTGTTGTGTATTGTAGAGTTTAAAGTAACTACTCCTCCCTACAGTAGTGTAACATGGTAAAGGTTAGGCCAGTACAAGTTGTAAACTTCTTCACGAGGTCCTAAGCCTCTTTTTATTTCACACCTTTTATAAAATAAACAATAAATGCTATTTTAGTGYAGCGTAAAGGCCTTTTTTTCCAATGAGCTGATGCTTTTAGGATGACAGTTTCATACATTTTTCTTTATATATATTATTTTAAAGTGCCATAAAAGAGCAGTTGTTAATTTTAACACAAAAACCTGCATGCTTACAACTTTCAGGACTTTTTTTTTATTATTATTTGTTAATGGTTACTTATACTTCATATATTTAATTTTCTTTATTTTACAAGACTGTAGCTTTTACTTTCAATATAAAATAAACAATCTTTGTTTACAAAATTATTTCTTTTTGGGGTGTTTTTTTCATTACGGAGCACTGTTGAGTTTACAAAATAGTTTCTCATGCTTTGCACTAACCTTCTACTGCTACAGAAAGCTTGCATGCATCACCTCTGGCTTTTTTTCCCCTCCATTACTCACTTTCTTGCTATAAAAGTTTCCTTTAGTAAACTCTAAAATGTTTGTAATGATGTCTGAGTTTTGTGATGTGGYATAATAATTAAAAAAAACCTAACTGTATGTTTGTTTAAAGTCCATGATTTTACTTTAGCTGATTTCCTGTAGCTTGCTTTGCATCTCTCTGACATGCTCACTGGCCATCCACCTCACCCTTCTCTTCCAGATCCACTTCCTCATGATTCTCTCAGCAAACTGGGCCTACCTTAAAGATGCCAGTCAAATGCATGCCTACCAAGACATCAAAATGAAGGAAGAGCGGGAGCTGCAGGACATCACCTCACGCTCAAAGGAATGCCTCAATTCCTACACATAAGGATATTACACATAAAAAATCTGCAGAAACACACACACACACACACACAGTGGGGAAAGGTGACTCAGCTAAAATAACCTGCCGACTGCGTACACTGTGCAGTACTAACCCGGCTCCTAACAAACTAATGCACAAGTGCTGCTTTCTGCACTAACTCACCAAGAACTGTTTGACCCTGGCTACAAACATGCTGACTTTTCCTATTTTGTTGGGGAAATACTGTGGAATTCTGATTTTCATGCTGTTGTTTCTTTCCTCCTTTACCTTTTTTTTTTCTAGCCAGACTTCTCTGGTGAATGTTGATATGTTGCACTATGCTTATAAAGCTCATAACAACTGTTTGGTTTACAGCTCTGTCTTTCGTTTTCCCTCCCCAATTTTTTGAGTCTTGGTTTCAACTAGGGAAACCATTTTGTCGGTCACATAAATGACCTAAACATTAAAAGGAAGCCCTTGCATCCAATCTTTAGTTAGTGCTTCGCACTTTGATGTTCATACAGTGCATCTAAAACCAAGAGTTATGCTCTGAGTCAACATCCATCAGAATTTAACTGCAAACCCTTCTCAGTAAAGCTGTTATTTGKGGATTTATTGGCTTTTAAATCCATTATTTTGTTGATCAGTTAGTGAAGTTACTCTGAACAATCATGGCCTACATTACCTCTACCTCAGGTGTGCATTACAGGTTAAGGCAACACATAAACCACTTTTTCCTTGTAAAACAATGCATTTGGATAGTAAAACACAAAGTATTGAGGACAACATGAAACAAGCCTCAGGAGCTCCTCTCTATCCCAGCATTACTGAACAAAAACTGTTACAAATGACGCCATAATAACCTGTTKAATATTATATTTTTTCTACCAAGAACAACTAGCAGATTTCATAAAAATTTTGGTTTTGTTGTATTTAGACAAATAAATATAGTTTACCATTGAAGAGCCTGAAACCTTAGATTACAGAACATAGCTGTTGAAATATTTGTAAAATGTTGACTTTAGAGATTTCTTAAAGAAAGATRAGAACCACATGTTCAATGCATTTGAAACAATTAGTTTAAAGCAGTGTAAACGTTACCATTGTAGTGTTTTGTCACTGTAAGGATGGAAGTCTTGTGATGATTTTCTAAACTGCGTTTGTTGAAAATTAGCTATTTTCATATTGTTGAAATAATTACTCCTGTTGTCTTTGTATTTTTTGTTGTTAGATGAGTCACAGGARTAACTTGATGTTTGTTGCATGAAGACGACTGTTTTCCACAGAGATGTACAGTTTTGTGAACTGACATCAGAGATGGGTGGTCTTTTTTCCTTTTTTCTAACTGAACTATTAATTTCTTTTTTGTAGCTGATTGTTTGTGGCCTATTTTAGTTATTTTAAATATTTTTTTGTCTGATAGTATTTGAGCGTTCTATAAATGTCAAGGGCTTCCTTGCAAAAAATCAGTCACACCATCAGTTGTTTAAAAACCCGAACAGACATAAAAAATGTCTGTTTTAGCCAAAGTATGAATACCARTGCTGGCCAATTTGTTAAATAGTATTTCTGTGAAACTGTGGTAAAAAATTCTCATTGTTCAATGTAGGACAGGCATAAAGTGGCAGACCAGAAAATGTTTTTTTCTTTTAAAATGAACCAAAAAGGAATGAAAAGCTGCCCAATCACCAGGAAGACCCCAATCAGCCAACAAGAACCCAGTCTGAATGGAAACACCTTTTTTATGACTCRACTCACTCCTGACTGTTTTTTCTTTTCTTTTTTTTTTAAATAAAAAACCCAAAAGGTTGTGCTTCTTGTTATGTGTGTTTATTTGATTGTTTACAGACAGTAAAAATGCATTTAAGTGATCAAAAAAAAATACATGTCACAATTTAATTCCTGTTCATAACTCGGGGATGAACGTCTCACCAGAAATCATCATCGTCCTCTTTAGGAGAATACGCTGTGATGCTGAAAGAACAAAATCCAACCGAGTTAATAAATGAAACCCTGGAGACAAAAAACACAAAGCCCTAAACAGAAATGCTATTTTTAAATTAACTAAATGTAATTCCAGAGCAAATCACATCATCACAAATCTGCCAAATGAAAAACCACAAAAGCAATTAAATCCTAATCGTACTGGGAAAAGATTAGGTGGCTTTTATTCTTTTGTTAACTTTCCCAAAGTAACAGCATGGCTTTGAAATAAAAAGACAAACTGTTCTATTCATGAATAAGTAATCTGTTTAAAAGATAATGCTGTCTTGTTGAACGTTTTATTACCTTTCATTTTTCTCCTCAGATAAACTCCTGTCCTCTGGACTGTGTCGTTCTTCCTGTCTTACAGGATTCTTAGAAACAAAACATTAAAAAAAGTCAAAAACTCAGGTAAAAGTTTCTTATAGAAGCTTCTGGCAAATATGGGTGCAACTCACATCCTGATGCTGCTCCTCTCTTGCTTCTAAGATCATCATGTATTTCTCTAGTGGATTTTCAGCTTTTGACTCTTCCTTCTGCTCTTCATTCTCTCCTTTCCCAACCTTCGTTTCTTCCTCCTCATCATCCTTTTCTGGTTGCCCTGTCTGTTGCAACAGCTAAGACAAGACAGATTATTTTACTGTAACATATTCAGTCGCTTTATATTTGATGTTCAGAAAGGGCAGTTTTGAGTGCAGCAGTTGTCACCGTCTCTTTCTCTAATCGTTCCAGCTCTTGCCGCTCTCGCTCCTTAGCCGCTTCCAGCTCTCTCTGCCTTCGCTCTTCTCTTTCTTTTCGTTCTTCTCCCCACTTTTGCTCCTCATCGTCTTTCTCGTTTACTATTCTGGCAGAATTACCTGAAGCCTGTGGAACCTCTGGTGACATGCGGAGATAAAGATTAGTTCATGCTTTACTTGAAGGTTCAGCAAACTCTAAAAATGGCAGCAACATAGTTAAATGTGTCAGACTGGCAGAGTGAGAATGAGGCGATTCAGTGTTCATCATCTGCGGCCAACCTAGATCACGGGTCATTCCTGGTAGGACTAACGACTCACCCGCCTGATCATGCAGACTTATTGGGTCTTCTGGGAGGTCCCGAGGCTGGGGGCTGGGGGTGGCATCGGGGGCCTCCTCAGAGAGAGGGACAGCAGTGTCCAGGAGAAGCTCTGGAATGTGACCGGGCTCTGAAGGGAGACGCACACAAAGAGAGCTTTTATGCTCCACCATAATGCAGCAGGGCCAGAGGAGCTGTGCAGAATGCATAATCAGCTGTCCTTCACTATTGTGTAAGACCACTGAAGGGATGTTGGAGGCCAGTCGCTAAACTATCATGCCTCATTACATTAACAAATATTAATAAAACAAGTTTCCAACAATCTGTAAATGCAGACAAAAAATAAACACTTCAAGCATTTTGCACCACCAACTACATGCATGACAGTCTAACTATATAATGCACTTGTCTGACAGGATGCAGGGCAAGGTTTTTAACTTCCACTCTTCGAGTGGAARGGAGAAACTAAACATAAGATCTTTTCTGCTGAGTTTGAAGCTTAATCTCTGCTTGAAACTCAACATCARGGATAGACAACTGGTGACCCGCAGGCTGTATGTGGCCCTCGGGTGACTTCCGTCAGGCCTGCTAATAAGCCCCAACAAAAAACGATGGCCCCTTTCATCATTGAAGTYGYCCATCCCTGCTCTACATTTTTCAGCTTAGATTTGAGAAAGCTCCTTGTGTGAGAAACAAAATTACTTAATCAAAAACAGAACTGCATGTGGACTCAATCATGTTTTCAGATGACAGGTTCAGTTAAGGCAACTCTGTCTCAAAGAGGCAGTTCAACTTCATACAACAGATCTATAAAGATACTTTATGAGGACTCAAAAACAAAACTTACATTACTTCTACACGAGGAGCAACTAATTGATATGACAGACAGATAGGTCTCCTATYAGTCAACAACACTGGTCTGAAAACATGTTTGTGTTGCTTCATAAAACCTGCGAGGTCTTCAAGGGTTATCTTCTCAGGCTGCGGGGAGGATTCTGAACTGGAGAACACGGGCTGTGATTCAGATGGTCTGAAAAAAACGACAGCAACGATATTCAGCACTGTCAGAAGAACTGTTCAAATGTTGCAGCGTCCTTGTCAAAGTCGTGCCAGATGGTACCTGGGCTGCTCTCGTGCTGTGCTCTTGAGCCGAGGACTCKGAGGTGGACTGAGCTCAGGAGAAATGTCAGCGGTGGTCCCCGCCTCGCTGAGCGGCGCAGGAGAGAGCTGTCCATCAGGCGGTGGCTGAGGAAGCACCACTGGAGACAAAACTGCCACAGGATGTTTATAAAAAACATTATAAAAAAAAACCACCCAAAAATGACATTCAAAAGACCAGTTAAAACAAAGTGTTTTAATACCTTCTGCATTTTTCTCTTGATGTTTCCTCCTGGAAGTGGGCTGTGATGTGCAGGAAGGTTGTTTAGATGAATCAGAACTTCCATTTTGAGTTTTTACCCCTCTTGGAGACAAAGATTCARTCGACACATGGTGACTGTAATCAGCATAAACTGTAGTCTGGGGCTGGTTGTGGTYAACTCCTGGTTGTGCAGACAGGAAGTGGGTTTGGGCATTGTGAGTTATCAAGGTGGGGGACTGAACATGCTGAGCAGACGGYGGTTTGAGTATCATCTTCTGTTTGTGTGTTGAATGGATGTGTGAACGCTGAGAGTCTTGTTTTCTATGAGAAAAGCTGGGGGAATGTGAGAGATATGCTTGTGGTGGGGAAAGGGGAAGCGTGTGCGAGACGGTGGCGTGCGCTGCCCTCTGCTGGTAGCTCTTATAAGCTTCCTCTATGATTTCTGCCTCCTTCCGCAGCTCCTGGATCCGAGCCTTGTCTTTTGTTATGAGCTCCACGTCAGAGATGGAATAATCCCTCAAAGGTGAGTTGTGTTGTCTCGGGGGTCCACCTGCTTCACAAACATCATCATAACCCACCCTGGGTCTCAGCAGAACGCTGTCCATGTAAATGTCAGGCGGAACCAGTTTGTCAGCGCTGAGCTCCAGCACAGAGCGATCAACAAGAGAGGGCTTRGGGTTACGAAGCACTTCGTTTTCAAGAGCTGTCATCATTGAGTAAATCACAGAGAGGAAAGAAGAAAAAAAAACAAAGTGTTGAGCTCTAATATAGGAGAACAACCACCATGAAAGATCAGAGGAAAAAGAACTAAACTGTGGTCTAAAAACATGARCCACAGCACTTTACTTGAAAAACTAAATAAATATGGGATTAGAGGACCAGTATTACAATGGCTATCTAGTTATTTGGAAAATAGGAAACAGTTTGTACAAGTACATGATGTAAAATCTGAACTCTGTGGAATCATATGTGGAGTTCCTCAGGGTTCTATACTTGGACCAAAATTGTTTATCTTCTATGTAAATGACTTGGTCAATTTGTCAGGGCTCATTAAATGTGTTTTGTTTGCTGATGATACCACATTTTTTGTTTGGGTAAAGACATRGAGCTGATGTTAGAGAAAATGCAAGCAGAATTTGTGAAAATACAAGATTGATTTAAACTAAACTAATTATCATTTAACTTGGATGAAACTAATTATATGATATTTACAAAGAGACAAAGATGGTGTAGACATTAGTAGAGTCAGTGAAGTAAAGTTTTTGGGTGTTATTATTGATGAGAAACTGACATGGAAACCTCATGTAAATTATTTAAGAATAAAAATAGCTAAATCCATTGCATTGCTTTACAAAGTAAGGGACTTGTTTAATGATAAATCTCTGTATATAATGCATTAAGTGTTCCAAGTGTTCCACACTTGGTCTATTGTGTTGAGGTATGGGGGAAARCATGTAATACTATGACACATGCTGTTTTTGTTTTGCAAAAAAGAGCTGTAAGAATTATCATTCGAAAATATTACTATTATCCATCTAATATATTATTTTGTAAACTGAAATTATTGAAATTCTATGATCTGGTTGAATATATCATTCTGTTAGTTATGTATACAGCACACTAAAACACATTACCATTAAACGCCCAGAAAAAACTTTGTAAAAACAGTGAGCTGTTATAATCTAAAAGGGAAAAGAGATGTTCATGAAACCTAAATTTAGAACATGTTTGGAAGAACGGTGCACCTCAATCCAAGCAGTCAGATTGWGGAATAATCTGGAAAATGATATTAAAAGTGCCAAATCACTGTACATGTTTAAAAGAATAATAAAGGCTTGATTGTTAAAAAAATATGAAACAATATAATTTGTAGTTTTAGAAAGATTTGATGTTTTTGTTTTGTTTTGTTAACTGAAGATCGTTTTTGTTTGAATTTATACTTGAGGAAAAAAGGGGCAGATGTAATACGATTTTTTTCTTCTCTCTGCCACCTTTCATTTCATTTTACTTGTATTTTCTTTTTTTATTGAACATAGAATAACTTTTGTTTTGTTAAGAAATTGTTAAGAAATTAAAAGATGTCAGCAACAGAAGACTTGTCCATCCAGCCTGACATGTTGGAGCCAGAGTCTGACCCAGAGCCAGAGGAGGATGAAGACGACCAAAATGTAGTTGTTAAGTCCAAACCTTATTTGACAGTTCTGTTACAAAAACTGTGATGTAGTAGTTCAGAAAATCCCATTGAAAATAGAAAAAYCTGAATCGGTTGATAAATATGACCCAATAAGGAAATAAAGATAACTATGTGAAAAGTACACACCAAAATGCATTAATGGCTAAAACAAAAAAAAGGGTATTTTCCACGATATGTCCTCTTTAAACACGTTTCCCATCACATTCTACCTTGTTGGGTTTGGCGAAGCTGCATCTTCATGTCATCAACAAGTTTAGTCAACCACTGTGACCTCTCCTCTTGCTCTAACAGCTGAGCCTTGAACTGAGCGCACCGTTCCATCTGCAGGCGCAAACAACCACATTTTATAAAGAGACCATCAGCTGCACACAAAGTCTGCAAAGTTTTGATTTCAATAAATCACCAGACTTAAAGACGCTTAATKCCACAAAGAGGCATAAAAATGAAATAGTTTCCCACAGTTAAACATCTGGAGTGAAGGCACTGACCTCACTGTGGAGCTGCATCTGCAGCACCTGCTGCTGGTTGTTAAACTCCTCCTCGTCCACTCGGCGAGCGGTCTGCAGCCTCTGAAACTCCGCCTGCATGGCCAGCTGCTCTTTGGATGGTTTGATCAATTCTAAAAACCAAAAGAAAAAGATTATCATAGTCAAACTATCAACTAAATCCTACACTTATTTTACCTAAAACTCTATTTTGAGACTGGGGCTGCAAAACATCTAGCAGTAACATTTGATTCTTTGACACTCAAGACAAATATATTATTCAGTACTGTTATTTATTTTATTTTAAGATAATCTCAGAAAATAGATAATCCTAACAACTGCTGGTTCAAAACCAAAAAGGGTTGGGCATTCTTTTGTCGGGTCTGTCTTTGTCTATTTATTGACCTGTTATGTAAGTTCCAGACTCCTGAGCTCACTGCCAACTAGACATGGATCAGTTTGTGACTAAACAGATACAGCCTGCTTTATAAAAGGCAAATAATTAAACTGTGGAATTCATGCACACCCAATCTCGCATCAACCCACTTTAAACATTTGCTTTTTCTGATGTTTCACGTTTATAAGCTTTGTCAGACGTACTTCACCTCATCTCTCCTTGTAAAGCTTTAAAGTGYCAGGGACATGAATTTTTTAAAATAAATATAAAGACATTAATGGAAAGATAACATTATTAGCATAACGCAAAAATAATTTCCCGCTGCTGAGATGAACAGTTGTTGAGATATTTGCATGTGAAGGAACAGGAAGTGATGTCAAAGGGGAATGACTGCATGGAACAAAGCATTGAAAAAATAGCTAACGACACCGACTGTAGAGAAGAATCTGATGTTTCTTCAGATTATTTTGAGTTATAATCAGAGAGAGATGAAGACGAGTCAGAGTTCAAATAGTATTGTTTCAATAAACAACAATGACAGAGTTCTCTTTATTAAAGAGTTCCCCTTTGATGTCACTTCCTGTCGCACTTTGGCTGAGCCAAGTTCAAAAGAAAATATGCCATTCATGTGACAAAATGGGTGAAATCACACGTTTTATGTAAGTTTTCTTACATAAAAATGTTTTCTTTGACTTTTTGTATTTGATGGATAGGCATGTCACAGGCACTTTAAGAAAAGTGCTAAACAAAAAAGTACATTTTTGTTTGCGATTGGTAAAAAGGTGCTTTCTGGATCTGCTCACATTCACTTTACCTTTAATGCTTCTCTCCCTAAACGTCTGTAAAGCTACAACCACAACACAGAAGCTCCACATTTGCAGGCAGAAAGACTCAGCCAGAGGCAGTGGGGCAGTCTGGAACTCCTGATTGGATCCAGACYCAGAAAGTCAGTAAACAACTTGGGAAAGCTATTTTTTTCAGCTGTGCAACTATGCACTTTCATATTTTATGGATTTAAATGTCCAAAATTACACCACTACTAAAGACATGATGTGTTTGGGTAACTAAAAGCCGCTCTTCACCTGCACGGAGCTGTCGGTTCTCCTCTTGGGCTTCCTCCAGCTGTTTCTTTAGCAGCTGCAGCTGTCCCTGCAGCTCCACTTTGTCTCTCTTCAAGCTAGGACAGTCACCTGTGCTCTCAAGTCTTTCCTTTAGTAGCTCCTTCTGCTGAGTCAGCAGRGAAATGTGTTGCTGTGCTGTTTCTAGCTCAACCTGAGACAAAAAAAGACAAAAAAAGAGACATAAAAAACAGAGAGCAAAATATAAATGCATGAAAATTACGCACAAAAAATGGTTAAATATTCTAGCTGAAAATCAGATAATAGTAGTAATGCTTTTTCTTTTGCTCATTTGAAAATGGTGTAAAATTAACATTGCTGGCAGAATGAAGTTGTGATTTTTTTTTTACCTGCAGCCTTTTCAGCTCAGAACACGCTCTGTTGTGCTCTTCCTTTCTGTCGTTAATTACAGCCGACTCCTTCTGGATCTGAGCAGTTTCCACTGAAAGGAAAACAAGGTGAAGGAAACTGAAAYGCGGAAACAAGCAAAGAAGTCAAAGATCTCCTAAAAGAATGGAAAAGCTTGCCTTTGTTTCTGTCCTCGCTCTCAGTGAGCTTCTGTGTTCTTCTCACAAATTCCTCCTTCAACTCCAGCTGGTACCTAAATGCAGTAAAAACATCAAATCAGAACATTGGGTCAGTTAAATTGTGTATGAATGAGACKAACAGTATGAGAAAACATCACATAAAAAGACAAGAAGAAAACATGGATGTCTGTAAATTAAACTTGTTTACAGAGATTTATTTAGCAAGAAAAAAAATTCTGAATCTTATTTCAGCACAAACATATGAAGTTTGGTGATTTTTGCTGMTACAGAGCATTATGAATGGATTTAACTCAACAGTGACATCCTCTGGGGATTCAAGATTGTCTAAAAAAGTTGATTAACCTTACATGTGTTTATAATAAATACAAGCTGAAACAAAACCTAAAAAATAAACACACCTAGAAAGTTCATTCTTCAGGTTTTGGTCGTATGTGTCCTCCAAGGTCTTCACAGCCAGCTCTCTTCTCCTCAGAGCCTCTTCGGACATCTTGACCTTCTCTGCCTGGATTTGACAGGTTCTGTTTGACAGAGATGTTCAGTATGAACCGTTCACTTCAATAAGCAGGGGGGGGGGGTAGTTATTAAAAAAAGAAGCACTTACTGCTCAAAAGCCTCCGCTCTCAATCTCTGTTCATTCTCTCTGTTACGCAGGGATTCAATTTCTTTCAGCAATAACTGCCTCTGCATGTAAATGTTTTTTTCTTCAATCTAGAGGGGGAAACAAACAAAATAAAAAAACTAACAATTATACCTAATTACAAACATGGCACAAAATAAGCATCATTTTAAAAGGTTTTACGCACTAGGTCAGGATCTATTTTAAAGAAAACTAAATCATCTTCTCCCCATCAAAGTCTTAAAAAACTCAAAACACATTAGATGGTGCATTTTCTTAAAATGRTCTTGATTTCAACTTTCTGCATTTCTTTCTTTTTAAAAAGACTGTGCTGCATGTTTGTGTGTCAAAAACACAGCTAACTGAGAAACAACACAAGAATGAAAAACATGAAGTAAAAATAGTTTTCCAAGCAGAGGCTTTTCTGTGTACTCGTGTCTCTCTCCTGTTTTTACTATTAATTCTGTGTGTTGGTGTCTTTTTAGTAATTGTCCCATTGTTAGTTTTATAAGATTAGTTGTTTTCATACCAAGAGTTTAGAAATGTTTAACTTTCGTGAACCCCTAACCAGAGTCACGAACCACAAAAAGCCCATTGGTTAGTATTTCTACATACATTATTTCATATGTAACACTGTTTTTACACATTTGTCGTAGTTAAAATAAATATAGCTAAATTAAATGGTCAGTGATGGAGAGAATACACAGAATCGGTTTGTAGAAATTGGAGCCATTGTGTTCAAAGCTAGTCGGGTTAAAACCCTGTCCCTCACTTTGCTTCGTACAAGGGTCTGGACTTGATGCATAGAGAAGTGATTCTTGCAGGAGGCGTGGCCTCTGCTGAAAAGTGTGTGTGTTGTCGCTGTGAAGGAGGCTAAGCTAAGAAGCTAACCAGAAATTGTGTGCTGTAAACAACCCTACTGAGAGGAAAAATATACCGACCCGAACGAGACGACTGTAAATGAGAGCTGCTGCTTTGTTAGAAAATTTTATTTTAATTTGGAAGCCTTATCAACACGAACTGGCTTTATTCACTTCCTCCACTGCCGTACGCTAAACGAACTAGCAGACACTGCGCAGAAAATCGACATTGTTCAAAACTCCTCCTTCTGTTCNTTCTCTGATTGGCCCGGCTAAAAATCTGCCAGTGAAATCCTTGTTAATGGGAGAAGTCCCAGACGGAGCAGAGAAGGGAAACTAGAATTGAGCGGAGCTGCATAGGAAGGCAAGGGCCAGGCTAGTTCAAAGCAGGAGGGGGACTTAAAATAATGGACTTTACTTTATTTTGAGAGAAATCAACWGTAAAACTCCACTTCAGCGATGCTTTACCTCTTGCTGTTTTCTCATTCTTTCAAGAGCATTTTTCTCCCGCTCCATCAGTGCCTTCGCCTTCCTTTCATAAGTCCTCTCCAGGTCTTGCTTCATCTTATCAAACTCCTTATGAAACTTTGCKTTTTCTTCCACCCTCACCTTGGCGATTTCAACTTCTTTAAAATGTTGCAGCTTAAAAAAAGACAAAGGCACATCGATATGAAAGCGAACAAAAGCCTGACTTCTAAACAAAATTAGATGTTTGAGTGTGTTTACCTTTGTGTTCATTTCTGCTTCCATCTGCGCCCCAGCCTCTTTCCTATATGCGGCCAGTTTTGATTGGAAATAAAACACTTTGTCGTCACTAGAACTAAGGCCCTGRTACTCCTTATCAATCATTTTCATCTTCTCAACTGTACATGAAAGGAGAAACGGGACACTTTTAGGAAACCCAAGCTGAATGTCACAGATGAAACCAAAAAATGGTTCATATCAGTCGACGGGTCATCATACCAAGTGACTCTCCATGACTTGATAGGCTGCCTGTCTGAGTTTCCACATCACGACATGGGCTGTGAGTAGAGATGTTGRTCAGCTGCGTCAAAAGGCTGAGCAGAAACCCTGGATACAGCCAAAGTATTAAGAACATGACTTGGAAATAGAAGCAGTTTTATTAGATGAAAAAGTGTCTTTAACGYACCTTCATCTTTGTTTTCTGTGTTTACCTGGACAATAAATATTAAATTTGTTATCAAAAGGTAAATTTATGCCTAATTTAGGTATTTTACTTGTATTACACAGCATGTCATTATTTTATTCACCATGACTGAGGAGAAGGGTAAAGCAGGACTTACTTTAAGGAGTTGAAAAAGCTCTTCTTTCTTTAAAATCTAAAACAGAAGTCAACATTCTTATTTACAGGTACTCCTCACACTGTAAGCCACAGATATAAAATGTCCAAGTGTAGTCATACACACCTGGGTCTTACTTAGGCCACTTTCAGGGTAGAATAYAGAAAGAGTGTATTCATAGCCTGATGTTTGGAGATGATCTGCCACTATGGTGTTACAGGCTGAAAGTAAAACAGGTTCTGCTTTCAGGCTTACTGGTCTAGGTACTGGATCTTGTCCTGAGAAATGTGGATACTTTAACTCGTGGATGAGCTGATTTCGCAGCTGTGCCTAAAGCAGATTTAAAGAAAATGATTAGTGGCATTTCCTTTTAAGTTTTATACAGAGCTTAAAAAATAAAATAAAATGCTGTTGTGACTTACTTTGAGAGAATCGAGCACGCCTTTATTTTTAAAAGTTTGATAGAGCCTCTTCCTCAGCTCTTCTGAAGATAAACCTTCCTCCCTGGATGATGAGGACATGATGAAGACTGCAAACCCTGATCAACGCGGCACTTCAACGTACAAAATACCTCATCATTAAAAGCTTTAATAGTAATATTAACTGTTATCAGACTTTAATTTCTCCATCTTAAAATGTAATAACTAAAAAGGAAGAAAAGTCTGCTACTTCGCTCTTTGACAACTAGAAAGCGTCTCTTTAAAATGTACACAAACGTTTAAATTTGCCAGCGGACGGMAGTCGCACAATTATGACGTCACATATACAAACGCGTCAGCAAGGCATTTTATTATTAACAGTTTATTTACAATTGTTTGTATTTTACGGAGCCCGCCGAGGGTCAGTAGAATTGCTATTATTTCTTTTTAAAAATCTCATAATATATATATTGAAAACGCATCACTGTATTTCAAGGGATGTGTCAGTGTCGTCATCTCTCTGCGACTGCTCTTTCAGGAAGAAAAAGGTAGCAGAATAAAAGGAGTCGACAAAATCTGGTTGATCAATTTATACTTTTACTGTGCGTACAATTCTTTGCTATTTATTTTTCTAATATTGTTATTATAAAGCAACATCTATCAGTTAAAGCATATGTAGTTCACTGTCTAGCAATAATTTAGCTCGACGTGRCTGCTGCCTAGAAGATGTCGTTTTGACTAATCCATGTTTTTGTTTTTTAATGCACTCTGTAGGGGATTTTGACTCGATAAGAAGAGGAGAAAACGATGTCAGGAAGCTTTTACTTTGTCATGGTTGGTCATCATGACAACCCCGTGTTTGAGATGGAGTTTTTGCCTCCTGGGAAGCCCGAGTCAAAGGTATTTCACAATWACTAGCCCAATACACCTACTGTGCTTGTGATGTGATAGGTCATAATATTTTATAAATAACCCATAATTTCCTACTTTGGTTCAGCCTAAAACACAATTTTAGTAACACAATCCAGCTTACTTAAAATGGAACACTTATTGTAGCAATTTAAATGAATGATTATACTTGTTTCAGCATGAATAATAAAAGCTTCATTGTATTTATCAATTTGTTTGGGATTTTTTTTGCTCTGATCACAGGATGATCATCGCCACCTGAACCAGTTCATTGCACACGCAGCCCTGGATTTGGTGGATGAAAATATGTGGTTGTCCAACAGCATGTACCTGAAAACTGTGGACAAGTTCAACGAGTGGTTTGTGTCGGCTTTCGTCACAGCAGGACATATCCTTTTATACTGTTTCCTCCACTCCTAACACAAGTTAGGAGTGATCAGGACTCTGTACCACAGAGCAGACAGTGTCCCTACAAACCCAGGAGC